AATAAAATCTATTCTTCACGTTTCCTCTTGCTAATGATTTCCATATGGAATTTACATAACACTTTGTCTTTTTAAATTGGTGGTCCCTCAAGGCACGCTGAACAATTAGCTTTCGGTTTGCAGTCTCAGCAGCTTTCTGGGGCTGTCAGTCCTGGAGCTGCCTGAGCACGCTCAGCTCCGTGCAGCCAGAGCCATGTCCACAGCGCCGCGGTGAGAAGAGGAGGGCTGGGTTGGGAGAAGCTTTCCAGAATCCGGGATTTCCTCTCCATCTGGGGTGTACTCAGAGCAGAATAACCCCTCTCTGCATGCCACATGCTGGGGTGCACACCCATTGCCACAGCTGAAAATACAAAATACTCTGAAAATGTGGATCCAAGGCCAGGARTTTTTGCTGAGCGGCTGCGTTTCCAGACAATCATTAGGTGGCAAATGACCCGATCAGCACAGCAAGCTAAGTGTAACAGACCAAACTTGATTCCCCTTCTCTTTTGTATCTTTCAAAGCATCTGTTTATTCCCACAGCTCATAACTCCTAGAAACAGGCCCTTGAATTTTAAATACAGGTACCTAGGCAACAGCGTATGACAAGAACACGCAGCAGACTTAAAGCCCAGCCTTTTGCAGAATTTTTTAATGTGCTAGTCTACATTATTCTGGCCAATATTGACTTTCTGAGGTGAGAGAATAAATAACACTATTTTTTTTGTATTCAACTAGAATGTTTTTATTTTCAGCACACGTGTGATTTGCAAGGGGCCGGTTTTGCCCATGGCTCCCGGAGAGAAGAAGTGGGTGCTGATGCTGGGGACTGTCAGGACTCCTGAGGAACGTGCTGAACCACTGGTGACTGCAGGAAGGACCCGATCGACAGGAGCTTGTTCTGCAAACTACTACATGGTCCTCTACAAAGCCCCCTCCCCAGCATGGGCTGGCTCACGTTTTCCAGAGAGGACCTTTAGCCTCATCTGTTATGTAGCTGCAGACATGAGCAGCCAACTGGTGCCTTTCYGCATGCATTTCTCACAGCCACGGCCTTGCAAACAGTTCTACATCCCTTGTTCTTAGATTTGTACACAAAATGCATTAATAAGCTAGAGCTTAGGTGCAAACTGCAGCATGAAAGGTTTCCCCACTGACGTGTCCCCAGCTGGCTGCAGCGCGGGCGCCGCGCGGCTTCCCGGGAGCACCAACCCCTGGGCACTGATGGCTCCGGCTGCTCCGGCTCCGGCTGCTCCAGCTCCAGGCAGAGCGCAGTGCCCGCCCGCCGGGCCCCGGCCCAAGGGAGCTCCCTGAGAGCAGGAGCGTTTCCAGGTAGCAAACACGGCCAGTGCAGAGAGCACCTAATGCCGTGTAAAAACGTTATTCTGCGCTCCTTATAGAGAATGCACTCGGGTGCTTTTTCTGATCCACACAATGCTGAGGGGGATCTGGAAGGTTTCTGAGTGTAGCTGTAGCTACTTAGCATAGGCAGGGATGAAATCTTCATTTCAGAGGGTCTATAAGTTCTTGTGCCTTCACCTGAAGGGAGACCCAAAAGAAGTGCAGCCAGAAAAGCTCCAGAGCTTCCATGCTTCCTGAGCGCACAATTTCTATTGGTATCAGCAGTGTTACGTGTGCAATATCATGGAGCACTTAGGGCTGCTCGAGGAGGCAATGCTAAAAGCAAAAGAGCACAGGCCAAGCGTAGCTGGGTGGGCAGCACTGCGGCAATGCTGGGAGGGACACGTGGGCCGGGGAGCCGCTGAGGGAGCTGCTGCAGGAGC